AAAGTAATAATTTCTTACACTGGAACGTAGATAATGGTCAACTTGGTCCTCTCACTTTCTCTACATTTATTCTCCTCTTCATTATCCGTTAGAATCTTCTAACTCGTCGGATGTGTCAAATAGATCACTATCCATTTTTTTTTCCATCTTATTTTCAGTTTCAGAAAGTTTCTGTTCATCGACGTTCGAACATTCTTCGTCTACGTTAATTATTTTTTCTAACAAGCTTATATTTCTTTCAATGCCTTGATGCTTTTTTTTTAGGACAGATATTCGTCACAGAATAATATTCTAAATATAAAAGTATTGCGAGAAAGAAGTATTCACTTAGATGCTCTTTCCTGGAGTTATAAAACTGCATTGTGTCACCCAAATCTGCGGCCTGCGTGTACTCTTGCAATGAAACATTGTTATCAATCAGTCACGTGCATAACCTGATAGCATAAGACTTCTATTCAGACAGCTCATATTTCTCATGAATCGATTACATAGTTTTGTCAATTTGATCGATCGCGGTAGGTTACGATATATTTCTCGAGAAAGAAGAAAATAAGAGGGAGAAGTAAATACTGAAAAATTCCATTGTACATGTATTTCAAGGAAAGTCGTGAGGCTGCAACAGTCTCTCGACGCAGTGGAGGGGATAGCGCTAACGACCTCTAGCGAGGAAAATAAGAGCAAGGGCCGCCAGTTAGCCACTTCTGCTCTGGCCAATTCCTTTATTACTAAACCTACCGACACTTCTTGTATATCTATTTCTACCGTGACCGGTCAAAATAACCAGTCCTTTGAAAAAAGTAATAATTTCTTACACTGGAACGTAGATAATGGTCAACTTGGTCCTCTATGTCACTCTCACTTTCCTCTACATTTATTCTCCTCTTCATTATCCGTTAGAATCTTCTAACTCGTCGGATATGTCAAATAGATCACTATCTTTTTTTCCATCTTATTTTCAGTTTCAGAAAGTTTCTGTTCATCGACGTTCGAACATTCTTCGTCTACGTTAATTATTTTTTCTAACAAGCTTATATTTCTTTCAATGCCTTGATGCTTTTTTTTTAGGACAGATATTCGTCACGGAATAATATCCTAAATATAAAATACTTAAATTCTTGCAATGAGACATTGTTATCAATCAGTCACGTGCATAACCTGATAGCATAAGACTTCTATTCAGACAGCTCATATTTCTCATGAATCGATTACATAGTTTTGTCAATTTGATCGATCGCGGTAGGTTACGATATATTTCTCGAGAAAGAAGAAAATAAGAGGGAGAAGTAAATACTGAAAAATTCCATTGTACACGTACATTTCAAGGAAAGTCGTGAGGATAGATGGCAATGTGATCGGTATGGTAGGTTTAGTGTTAAATCGCACAGTTGTTCCAATTCTACCTAATTCCTCGACGAAAATGAACGAAACTTCCTAAACTAAAGGCAGAAAACAAATCTCGACATTTTCCAGGATGTCTAGCGGCAGCAATGGTGGGCGCCTCGTTCCCAGCGTTCGCCGTTCTCTTCGGCGAGGTGTACTACGTGTTGGGTCTGCAAGACGACGATGAAGTACGCCACGAGACCGTGAACTTCTCCATTCTGTTCCTGGTGGTCGGCGTGGTCACCGGGCTGGGCACCTTCCTGCAGATGTACATGTTCGGCCTGGCGGGCGTGCGTATGACCGCGAGGATCAGGAAGATGACGTTCGGCGCGATGCTGCGGCAGGAGATGGGCTGGTACGACGAGGACACGAACAGCGTGGGCGCGCTCTGCGCCAGGTTGTCCTCGGACGCCGGTGCGGTGCAGGGCGCGACGGGGACGCGTGTCGGCGCGATCCTTCAGGCTCTGTCCACCTTGGTCCTTGGAATCGGATTGTCCATGTACTACACCTGGAAGATGACGTTGGTCTCCGTGCTGTCGATACCTCTCGTGTTGGCCGCGGTGTTCTTCGAGGCGCGGGTGATGAGCGGCCAAGGTTTGCAAGAGAAGAAGAAGATGGAGGCAGCGACGAGGATCGCCATAGAGGCGATCTCCAATATTCGCACGGTGGCCAGCCTCGGGAAGGAGGAAGCGTTCTTGCGGCGTTACTGCGTCGAGCTGGACCACGTGGCCAAGGCGACGAGGATCAGGAACAGACTGCGAGGACTGGTGTTCTCATGCGGCCAAACAACGCCGTTCTTCGGCTACGCTCTGAGTCTCTATTACGGTGGCTCGTTGGTGGCTACGGAGGGTCTCAGCTACCAGAACGTGATCAAAGTGTCGGAGGCGTTGATCTTCGGGTCTTGGATGCTGGGCCAGGCACTCGCCTTCGCGCCTAATTTCAACACCGCCAAGATCTCCGCCGGAAGGATATTCCAGCTGTTGGACAGAGTGCCGGAGATCACCTCGCCGCCGGATTCGGAAGACAAAGATCTGGATTGGGTGAGTGGAACAGATATTTTTGTTTTCCATTTCGACATTCAACAAACGCAGTTGCTTCATGTTTGTCGAACGCTAGCGCGATATCGCGCGACTGATTATTGCTATTATCGAAACTGGCTATGTTTATTCATATACGTATAAAGTATAGAGAAAGACTGGCAGAGCTGACCGAATCGTCAAATTTCGACGTTCCATCACGGCTGTTTAGCAAAGCGTCGAATTTATGACATACTGACGTAGCCGCCGGGTACGCGCGTTAATTACGCTCAAAACCCGGGGAACTCTGTTTGATCGGCCGGGCTGCGACCGCCTCTCTAGAATTCCAAACCGTTTAATGGAGCGATACGAAATAAACGACGCGGATGTTTCGAATTCGCGCTGCTCAAACGCTCGTTACGTATGACTCGTTTCATCGGCAAACAGCTATAGCGTATTCTTTTAAATCAATTTTCTTATTCCTATCTCTGGTGCGAGTCATCTTCGTAAATTAACGCGAGTGATAATTAACACGATTCTATTTTATCGATCGAATTTAGGAAATCTATTGGAAAAAGGACTGGCTGAAATAATTCGTTTCACAAAGAATTAACAAGCGAGAATTGATCCAATTGATCGAATTGAGATTCCGACGTTTGCAAAGTTGATTTCGAAACGATCGAGGATCCTTTGCTATTTCGATTCCACAGCCAATGAGAGTAGAAATCTAATCGAACGCCTCTGTTCGGGATTTCAGAAAGCGGACGGCTTGATTCAATTCTCGAAAGTCGAGTTCCACTACCCGACCAGGCCCGAAATGCACATTCTACAAGGTTTAAATTTGATCGTGAAGCCGGGCCAGATGGTGGCGTTGGTGGGGCAAAGCGGATGCGGCAAGTCCACCTGCATCCAATTGTTGCAACGATTGTACGATCCGATTTCTGGCACGGTGACGATGGACAGGCGCGACATCTCGTCGGTCTCGTTGCGCAATCTGAGGTCTCAGCTAGGCGTCGTCGGCCAGGAACCGGTGCTCTTCGACAGAACGATCGCCGAGAACATTGCCTACGGCGACAACTTCCGGAAAGTGTCGATGGAGGAGATCATAGAGGCCGCCAAGAAATCCAACATACACAGCTTCGTCAGCTCTCTACCACTAGTGAGTAGCGTAATTCTTGTTCCAAAGGGATAGTCGACACTCTCGAAGAAACACTGACAGCCACTCACTTCTTCGTTCGATTCAAATTTTCGATCGATCGATCGTCGAACGATGATATTTTTCACACAGTGCAGTGATTTGACGAAATCTAATGAAAGTCGATTTTTACTTAATGTACGAGGTATTGATAGTTTCAAAGTAGATGATCTTCTGATTTCTTCAGTCCTCAGACGGGGGACGGTAATGTCATCCTGACATACAACGAGGAACATAATTGTACCAATAACAATGAAAAATTGTGAGCAATTTAAACTGATATAACTTTGTAGAAAACGATCATATGGTAATCCACTTGGTCTCCTCTTGAGGACTGAAGCTTTTATTTTTGATAGTCCGTGAGTTCGTTTCTTTTGAAGATGATTTTATATCACGTAGCGGGTAGGAATCTCAGGACACGTTTTTCTCTCTTGAAGATTTTAAAAATTCAAAATATTGCGCGTGAAAATATTTGAATATTTCTTTTCGTCACTAGATCCACCATCATTTTGAAGATTGAAGTTTCCCCTTCACAATGACTCCCTAAATCTTGTTTTATTGAACGCTAAATATTTAAAAGGTTTTATTGAATGTTAAATAATGTTAAATGACGAAAATTCAAGTCTGTCACACTTGAGGTTTCTAACAAAAGTCTTTTACTTGTTGAATTGTGATTAATCGTGGTTACGTTGGACAAGTTCGAAATCCAAAAATGTACAAGGGGTGAGTTTGTAACATAGCGAACAACTTGAAATAAGTTATTTGCTGCGGAATACCGAAGAAATGTTTCAAACAAAAGTTTCCAAGGCGGCAATGTTGTAAGCGTTTTGCTTTTTTTATCGAGATATGAAAGTCACCTGTTTTAAATGGAACGATATATCTTTTTATCCGTTAATCAATCCATTATCCATTAATCCATTTATCCATTTATTAATCAGCTCGACAGTCTCTGTAAAAGAGTATGAACGTATGTCGAAAAATTATTAGTTTACGAGAATATTTTAATTTTAATTTTATAAAATCTACGCGTGAAAGGCAAGGACAGCACGAATGTCATTTTTGTCCTTCCTTTTTTTGTCTTTCGTACGGTAGATTTTATAGAATTGAAGCTAACGTACTTCCTAAACTAACTAATAGATTAAAAAAGCTGCATCGATTAAAAAAAAAAAAAAAAAAATCATTCCATTTCAACAAAACCTTCATATTTCAACAAAGAAGCAAGATGAAAAGCAAAATAGAGGCATGTCTTTCGTTTGAAACATTTTTCTGTACGGTGAATGATTTACAGTTGATTTCGAAGTGTTACGTTCGTCCTGCGTAAAAACTGCAAGATATCCGTTGGAAGCACAAACTTCGAATTATATCGTGAAACTACGCGAAACAATAACGAGAAACGTGCTTGCGTTTGCGACCATTGTTTCTAAATCCGGGCGCGAATTTTCGGATTTGCTTTGAAATTTCACTGAAATGATCGCGTCTCGTTACACAGTGGCAACGCGTGCAAACTATCTCGTGACAGAAATTCAAGTTCACCCTCTTGAACTACTTAATCGTGACGTTTCAAGCGAAGTTGATCGAAAAAGAAAAGAAAAGAAAAAAAAAAATGAAAAAAAAGGAAGATGTACAACGCCACGTTGTTCAACTGTTCTGTTACAGGGATACGATACTAGGTTAGGCTCCAAGGGAACACAGCTGTCCGGAGGACAGAAGCAACGTATCGCGATTGCACGCGCCTTGGTCAGGAATCCTCGGATCCTACTTCTGGACGAGGCCACGTCAGCCCTCGACACCCAGAGCGAGAAGGTGAGCACTCCACCACGTTTTGAAATCATCTTGTCGTTGTTGCTCTCGTCCTCGAAGTATTTCCGCGGATCGCTCAGGCAAGAAATAGCCGCGGGCGGCAAGCCGAGTGGAGAAACACGCGGCGGGCGACGAGCCGAGGGAAAATGGGTCGTGAAATCAGGCTGAAGTGGAGACGCCGGCGCGCATTCATTAATATAATACGCGGTGGAACGCGGCGTTTTAGTCGCGGGCAAGCAACGAGGCGAAAGAAGAAAGAAAGAAAGAAAGAAAAATGACCAACCGCGCTCGCCGAGAGGCCGCGAAGAAGCGCGAGGAATTCTCGCGAGGACAAAAGCCTCGCGTTCCAGCTTTGCAGCCGCGCATTGTCTCGCCCTCGTGACCAATTAACACCCTCGTAACTTTGCCTGCCATTTTTCGCAGGCGATTGCTCGGCCTCCCCCGGAGATTCGAAATCTCTTGTTTCGAATATTTTCTTAATATTACATTTTAATCTTTAATATTAATCTTAACATTAGTTAGTTGCGTGTTAATTCATGACGTGAACGTGCTTCGGATTCTGACTGTCTGTTAGATTAGAGATTTTTACACATCTCCTCCTCTCCGAGATTTCGTGTGAAATCCGAGAAACTCTAGACTCTTGTCTGTTGAATATTTTCGTGGCATTAATTTTAATTTTTAATATTAATTTCTGTGAAGATCTGCGGTGCGTGTTAATTCATGACGTGAATGTTCCAACTGTTAAATTAGAGACTTTTATACATCTCTGGCCATGTTTAGATGGTCTTGAGAATTATAGTTTCAAGTGCAATGAGTTTCTTCCGTACAGTGTT